AAATGTGATTTATATAGCACCTTTCATGAAACCCAAGGACGCTTTACAAAGTGTGTGTTTATGTGTGTGTGTGTGTGTGTGTGTGTGTGTGTGTGTGTGTGTGTGTGGGCGGGGGGGGGGGGGGCGTAATGGGAGGCAACAAGAGACAAACAAATGAAGGAGAAAGGAAGTGGGTGATCAGCTGGGGGGAGTGTTAGATGAGGCTGAATGCTTTGGTGAACAGGTGGTGTTTGAGGAGGTTTTTAAAGATGACCAGGGATGCAGCAGTGCGGATTTCGGCGGGGAGAGAGTTCCAGAGGGTGGGGGCTGAGGCACTGAAGGCTCTGTCACCAAAAGATCGCAGTTTGGTGTGGGGGTTGGAGAGCAGGCCTGTGGCTGAGGACCGCAGCTGTCAGGACGGGGTGTAGGGATGGAGGAGGTCGGTGAGGCACGGTGGTGCTAGACCATTGAGAGATGTGTAGGTGAGTAGGAGGAGTTTGTATTGGATGCAGGACTTGATCGGGAGCCAGTGGAGGTGAATGAGGGTGGGGGTAATGTGCTGCCAGGGCTTGGTGTGTGTAAGGACCCTGGCAGCGGAGTTCTGGACATATTGGAGTCTGTTCAGGGCAGTGTTTGGTAGCCCGAACAGAACTCCATTGCAGTAGTCCAGGCGTGAAGGGATGAAGGCGTGAATGAGGGTCTCTGCGACGGGGTCGGGGAGTGAGGGCCGGAGTCCAGAGATGTTTTTGAGGTGGAAGAAGACGGATTTGGTGATGGACTTGATGTGAGATTTAAAAGAAAGGGTGGAGTCCAGGATGACGCCTAGGTTACGTACCTCGGTGAAGGGTGGATGGAGCAGTCGTCCACAGTGAGGAGGAGATCTCCAATCGTCCTGAGCAGTGCCTTGGGGGCCACAACCATGAGCTCATTCTTGCTGCTGTTAAGTTTGAGGAGGTTGGAAGACATCCAGGTTTTGATGTCCTGCAGACACTTGACTACAGCACACAGAAATGTCCGCCATTTTTATTCTCGCTATAAAGGAGTGACATCTACCAGGAAAACTCAGGGGGGGGGGGCTCAATGCATTTAAAGAGACACACACACCAAAACGAAGCATTCTGAGAGAGCTGGTTTATACAGCATCACAAACCTCGCCCTGGCAACACATTTGAAACTGCATTGCCTAAGCAAAGTTTTGAAACTTTCATCCCAAAACCCTTCACTTTTAGTGAGAAACGAGACAGAAGGAGGGGTGCTTTCTACTTTCTTTTTTTTTCTATATATTTTGAAATAACACTATGTCTGCAGTTTTGACATTCTGTTAGAAGGTGTAATTCTGTCTCTACAGCCCCCTCATCACACTGACAGCACAGCCTGTCTGCTCTGTGCAGCTGAGTCTGTCCATTCTCTATCTACCTGTAGGTTTGAGCATGACGAATGCAAAGTAATGCATTTCTCTAAACACTCCTGTTGGGTTGGAGATAAAAATGCTCCCATTTCAGTAAATAATATATTTACAGTCACTTTGGTTACCTTTTACAGAATGACAGCAATGACTTATCTTTAGCTTTAGTTTCAATATGTGTAAAGATATTAATTGTATAGTTTAAAGAAAAAACATTTTCTACAATGTCTATAAGTCTCAGAGCTCCTCCAAACATGTCTGTGAAGTCTCTTTTTAAAATCCACTCTGATCCTGTATTTGATCAAACCTATAAACCCCTCTATTTCAGCCCTGCTCACAACAGGCTGTTTCTGTGTCTGTAGCTTTAAATGTGTGACCACGCCCCTCTGGCTTAGGTAGCTTGAGCTTTCCTTGCACCATGTCCTATTGTTTACGGTGAGAAGGCAGACTCAGAGGACAGAACAAACACCAAGCTGTGGGAGTGTCACCCACCTGGGGGAGGGGTTACTACCCTTTGTGATGTCATGAAGGGGAAATCGCCAAACAGCCTTTTTGAGCACACATTTTCTGAAAAGTGGAGCAGGCAAAAGACGGAGAGGATGGACTTTTCTCATAATTTGGGGGACTTGGAAACGTGTATTCTGCATAATATGTGACCTTTTTTGAAGAGATAGAAAGTAATATGGTAAACATTCTGTAAAATTTTAGGTTTTTACACTTATTTTGTATTTTTTTAATAGTCTACCTACATGGTGCGACTTAAGAATGCTATACAGATGTATCTAATAATCATTGCAACCCAGCATTAAAGTAGGCTTATTTATTATTCTGTAATGAGCCATACTGCCTATTGAGTAATATTTGACGTGTTACAGAGTATTTCTACTGAAACAATGTTACTTTAATTAAAGAAGAAATTCTGAGAGCTACTGCCATCCCTTAAAATGGAAAAAGATGTTTATGCTCTTTCACTCTTCAACATTTTTTTCTCCAATTGACATTCATATCTCCTTAAAAACTAAAGTGAGGAGTATAATTTATCTACACCAATCATAATTGCCATTTTAGATACAACATAAAGGTTTCCAATCTTGCTCTTAACCCCAGTAAAAAATGTTCCGAATAAGAAGACACAGATGTGACAAGAAAGTTAACAGCAGCACATTTTGGGGGATTATTTGCTTTGGGATTATATTAATCATGTAGCTTTTTATTTCACTTTAAACACAGAAGCCATAATGCCTAATTTAAGTTTTTCAATTTTCCTGCTGGGTCTGCAATATTGTAAACACATTGTCAGCATTCTCTACAGAAAACAACAACAACAGCCATGTATCAAAACCACTGTTTGCTCACAGATGTTTGATATAAAACATGATCATAGAAGGTTAAATACACACGCCTATCATGGCATTTCCCTTTAGGTTTACATTTTTTAATATAAAAACAAGGGAATATTCCTAAGACCCTCTCGATATTCTATAAGGAAAAGAAAAATGTCTCCTATGATAGTGAATGATAGTGACTTCTCAGAGTTACTCAAGCAATATTCTCCCAGGGACCATAAGGGCTTTCACCGCCCACTGTATACAGCTACTAGACGAGGAGCCTGAGACCAACTGCAGCATGTATTTCAGGAAGGAGGTCTCCATTGTTTGTTTCCTGAGGTCTCGTAGAAGCTAGTGTTCTACTGTAAGACTGTTGTGTTGCTACAGGCATTTTTTGGAGAGGCAGTCCATATCATTCCATGAGTTTGGCTTTTAGACATTTCTAATGTCTGGTAACTTTTTTTTTCTTGTTGTGCCACCTCGGTCCTCACAGAGCCACTTTACTGTTTCATTCTGAGATGTTTCTCAAAGGAAATGAAACATTTGTCCAGAGTCACTTCACATCCTCTCTGTATGCTCTTTCACTCTGTCAAAACTTGATTAAATTGAGGCTTTTTTATCATTTGGCAGTAGACTTTTTTTTTTGGTTCCCAGTGACTAATGTGAGCTTTACTGAAGTGTTGTTGTAGGCAGCTGCCTTCATAATGCTTCATCACCTCAGCCAAGACAAGTGACTGCAATGCAGAAAATGTCCTGCAAAATAACATTTGTTTTTTTCTCTTGTATTATGTCCGAATATTCTTTTTTTAAACAAAGAAAAAATTCCCCAAAAATTAAAGTCAAGATTTACATGTTTTAAAATGTCAACAGTAAAATAGCGTTTAAAGACACATGTAGATTCAGCATTCATTTGTCAAACATACTATGAATTAATGATTGTCTGATGAGTTATCTTTGGCCTCACTCTTGTCAATCCCTTGTGCACATCAACCCACACGTCTTCCAACTGTCCACAATTTTTTTATTTTCTTTTTTCCCCATCTCCACAGCATACTAAAACTAATCTATATTACATCATGACCATCAGTCAAGGGAACCTGAACATCAATCAGTGATTTCCTACAGAAAACAAAGTGACTGCACATTTACATAACAGCCAGCTCCAGAAACAGCAGAGAGCAGCAGTGCTCTGAGGGAGGTGAGCTGAGAGATTGCTAGAAAATGCATCACAACACCTTAGACTCTGAGCTCATTTATTCACCACTGTTCTCCAAATCTCTAATTATGACAATATAATCTATACTCATGTTTGACCACAATTACATCATCATGCTCCTTTTACAGTTTTTGGTTCCGTTATACATGCTGCAACCTTTTCATCGCCTCTGCATGAAACCTGCAAAGACTTCACACTTTTTCTGTAATATAAGTAGACGTGTTACTGTGAACTAACTTGCTAAAAATGAGATTTTTAGTTGGACATTTCAGACATTGTGTACTATTGCTATATATTCACACAGTCTCTTCTATAGAGCATGTCATGCTCCTCTTTTTTTTATTTTGACAGAAATTTTAGTCCAATGCCTATTTGACCTGCTGCTGCATGCAGAGGTTTAGTCAATACTTAACAGACTGAGTGGAACTCATGCTGACGGTTTTGCGTATTTTATTAATTTCTCAATGGTAGCACATAATGAAAAAGTGGCTCAACTCATCCTCAGAAATATTTCAGGGTAACCCAAGATCAGCTGGTCCAATCCTCAGAGACACAGATAGCCTCTAAAAATAATTTAATAATTGTCATTTATCATTTTAATATTTTATTACTCAGTAGGTTTATGCAAATAAATATTTGATTACATGGTAATAAGAATTTAAAAAAAGTGATAGTGGTTCAACAACAATTAGGCTATTTTGTATACTTTTAAAGTGTGATAAAACATACAATATAATATATGCCTGTGACAGTTCAGATATTATACTGCCCTATGTACCTCTTTTAAGCCAATTTCCTTCATGTAGGAGCTCTAATTAGGCGTCATGAACAATAGAGAGAGGCATAGCCTATATGCGACCTTTATTGTTTTTATCTGATTAAGTAGCCTATGACAGAAAATGTCAGTTTGTTGGAGGAAACGTTTGTCTCCTTATTAGCCCTGGTTACTGGATGGCTGTTATTACTCTTATCTTGTCTTCACACCTCCTCCTTACTGACGCTCCTCTCTGAGCTGTGTCTGTGGCCAAGGAGCGCGCGCTCCCGTTCGCGCGCGCCTCCCCCTCGGCCGACACAGTAAACGGGTGTCGGCGTGAACGTCGCTAAGCTCTGAATGGACACTAATAGGAAATGTAATATTCTTCTGCCACTGCCTGCTCTCTGCTCTCATTTAATCTCCGCAACGGAAGCCGGGTGAGTAAAAAATGAAAGAGATTGTATATTCAGAAACGGACAGGCTGCCAAGCAGTTTCTGAATTCATAGACCGATATTGAGAAGTAGTTTAAAGACATGAGGGAGGGAGCTTAATGTGATGTATGCACGCAGGTTTTAATTGCTATGACATAATTTTGTTGTTTCATCCTAATAAGCCTTTAAAAATTGCAATTTAATTGGCTGTACATTGTTAAACCTCAGCAGAGTGCACTCTGCCTCCCAACTGCGCATAACTATTGACATGTATTAAATTATATGACAAAGTCAGTGTTGGACTTTACCCTTGACCTAAGCTAAATGCATCGATTTAATTATAAAGTAATTGTTTTACTAATGTGTCTGTGGAGTTGGTGAGATCCAATCCCGTTTTTTTTTTCCTTTTCAGGACAGAGACAGTGATTACTGTAGGCTGCATAACGATTCAGGCTGATTTGAATTATGTAAGAGAAACAATCAAAGAAAATGAATTATTTCCCTGCCAGTGCTACAAGTAAATTGTACTAACTGACAACTGCCAGAAATTTTTACTGAACCCTGATTTACTGAGAGAGAGTAGTGATGAGATCTCTCTGGAGGGTTGTTCTAAAGGCAAATGTTTTCTAGTGGTTGTGTGTGTGTGTGTGTGTGTGTGTGTGCTTGTGAGCATCCAGTGTGCCCACACCTTACATGCTGAAAATGAGCCTAAAATGTACTGTAGACTTAATATAAAGTAACAATCATGCCCTCTAAAGACCCTGCTGGAATTCACCTGGGAATGTGTATTGCTGCAATGAATGGGTTATTTGACCCACTGCAGGTCCTCTGAGCTCAAGCTCTCCTGGACTAACTCATGGACCATTAAACACAACTTCATATGGAGCTTGATCAAGCAGAAGTATGTATATTTAAGAAGTCATATGAGAGAGAAATGTAGCTGTATTCATTTTTTGTTGGAGTATTTTGGTGAAAGAATCACACTTGTAGGAAGTGTACATCTTAAAAGATTGTGTGCAAACATGTGACTATTTATATCACTGTGCATGCAATCTTAGTGCCAGATGAAGCATTAAAACTTGATCATCTTGCATATCCAGGATTAAAACAAATGACTTTTTTTTAAAGCCAAATAGCAACATGCTGAGTCTCTTCACATGGCAACTGGTTGGGATCAAGGACAAACCCTTTTGTGATGCGAATAAACTATAGCTACAGGTACAATATGCAACAAAAACACCTGAATAATGATGCAAAAAGTTTATGGCTACAGTTAAAATTGCATTCTGGGTAAATGTTTTCACTGCCCCAACACTTACTACATTGGCAGGGAACGCTCATATGTGGATATTTTCCCAGGAAAACAGGCTGGTCCATTCATGACCACACAACAAATCCTTTAACAGTTAACAGATAGAATTCATTCTATGTTCAATAGAGCCAACAATTTCTTTAAAGGAGGACAAGTAATTTCACGACTTGAAATATTGAAGACGGTCTATACACTTGCTTCTTTTCCTTCGAGGAGATACATTTACTTAAAGTAGTTAATTACAGTGGGAGAGTTATCTTGCAGGGAAACATAATGGACACCAGAGAGGAGCAGCAGAGTCAAACCAAGGACACGCTGTGGCTGCTGATGATACAAGGCCATCCTTTAGCACCCTGCCAAGTTGGCTCTTATATGGGGAATGCACCAATCATGCGTTTTCTCTAATGATGCTGGAACTGGAACTCAGGCTACTGACCTGTACAGTACCTATCTGATAATGGGGGACTTCTTATTCAGTGCCAGGTGAGCTGTTAAGGATTTTTTTTTTTTTTAAATGATCCTTTAACGTATGACTGTAACCACACATGACCTCTCAACTATAAGTGGAGATAGAAGTTTAAGTGCCAATACTAATCCATCATTGATATTCAAGTCACATTTTTAGACAGGAGTAGAGGACATAGTAACTGTTGGTCTCTATTACAACAAATGGATCCCGTTTCCCTTTCTTAGCCAAGTAATTCCTTCTTCTTTGTGCTCTTACTTGCTTTTACAAGCACCTTATTTCCCTTAGGGGATCATTAAACCTGAACATCTCCTACGTTGAAACATTAGATGTTAGTCACTTGCAAAGAAATTATTGGAGCCCATCTAACAGAGGAGGGTTTGTCAGCTTATATCTTATAACTGTTCTGCCTTTAGCAAGAAATATCTTTATTTACATATCGCTTAACATTTTTTGAATGTGCTTTATATGAAGAAAAAAAAAGGCACAGCAATATCAGTAAAATCAAATAGTGGAGCAGACCTCTTAGCATTGGCAAATTGCAAACATTAAAAAACAAGAGTGCAAGAGTGAAAATGTCAAGCATTCACAATAGCTCTCCAATCCATGTTTCTAAGAGTCCTTTATAGGAGTCCAGAGCCCCTTTCAAGCCTGCACTCCAGAACTTATCTGGACTGTCTGGAGGAGCTGCTTGCAACCATTCAAATGTACAAATCAGTTGTAGGGGTTGTTAAATGATTTGACCAAGTGGAGGTGATAACATGGCACACAGTGTAGCTAATTTGCATTTTTATTTTTTGTTTTTGCAAATTTCTTTGTATTTCAGATACATCCAAATACATAGTATATTGATCAAAACCCAAACAGTGTGAGTCAGTAGTAGCAAGTGACACAGAGACTGACTAAAAGAATGGGACAAACTTTCAAACAAGTCATCATTTGAATGCTGATCGTTATATTGAAGCTATGAGTTGGGCATTATGGCCTTGCCATGTTAGTTGAATGGAGCCAGTAGTCACTTTACCTGGATGAGAGGTTGTAGATGTTGAGAAACAAAGTGGTTTTCAAATGCTGAGTTATCCTTGCGAGAAAGTACTCACACGTGTAATTCATCAGCTGCAGCTTACTGGCAAGTTAGTGACATTGTTTACTAAGCTATCCAATTTGAGCAGAATACACAAGTATAATTGATGATCAATCTTACTAGAAATGTGCTGACAGTTGTTCATTTTCTCTAAAAAGCTTATAAAACTAGGTATATTTTTGTTAGCTTATGGATAGGAGAGTGGCTAAGTGAACCATGATCGGTTAAAAAGGAAGTGTTGTTTTTGTTGTTGCATATTGCTGTTTTCTGCACTCCAATGCACAGCAGTACAAATAGTGCAATCTATACAAACTCTGGATATGGTGCACATATATCAGTTATCTGAAACATATTACTGCTAGGGCCCGACCAATATGAGATTTTTGGGGCCGATACTGATATTGATATTAGAAAGAGAAATAGCCGATATGTCAGCCGATATGTTTCTTGGCTCTATCTTCAATCTGTAGATATATATATATATATATATATAGATAGATATACACATGTTTGCGTTGAACCCGCAAATGCTGTCAAATGAAAATGATATATAATGAAGACAAGATGGTCACTCAACTGGAAAATAACTGTGCATGTTTGTGCACACGATCTGGAGAATGATGATGCTTGTTGTAATCCATAGAGCACACTCTAGTGGTGACAGGTGTCACTGGTGAATAAATCTAGTAATATCAGCCCATATCACCGATATAATGATAGTAATTTGATATGCTAATATCGGCCGATTAATCGATCAGACTCTTATTAGTACTGGAAAACTCTCTCTGAAAATCTGAAACTGTACAGTCTGTTAGTAATACCAATGATTCCAAATTTCTAAATGATTCCAAAAGGCACCTACAACACAATTATGTCCAAGTAATCAGGTTCAGTGACTGAAAGAAGCTGACACCTAACAGTTTTTTGTACCAGGCTGTAAACATGTTTATTTATGCTGTAAAAACGGCTTGTTTAGCTGTTGTGTGTATTATGTGACTTCCGGTGTACCTGGAGCCAGCCTCAAGAGGACACTCAATGAACTTCAGGATTTTGCACTTCCGCATTGGCTTCATTAAATCAAGACCGGAGGTTGTCGCTTGGTTTTCTTGCACCATGTCAGGTTGTGTGCGGTGAGAAGGCAGACTCAGAGGGCAGAAAAAACACCTAGCTGTGGGAGTGTCACCCACCTGGGGGTTTGGTTACTGCCCTTTGTGATGTCATGAAGGGGAAATCTCCAAACAAACCTTTTTGAGCACACAGCTTCTGAAGAGTGGAGCAGGCAATAGACAGACAGGATGGACTTTTCTCCTAATTGAGGGGTTTGTAGGAAGACTAGGGACACCTGATATTGTTCTGAAAAGTGTATTTTGCTTAATTTGTGACCTTTAAAGAACTAGTGTATGATGACTTTGGTTTCATCTTTTGGTCCTGCAGGTTTCCTCTTAATCTGACACAAACAATCTGGCGCTGATTACTTCATGTGTGAAAAGAGTTACTCCTGCAATTCTCTGGACATCACATGAGATAATGGCTCCTATAAACCAGATTAAATCATCCTTACATCCAAAATTAATTGCATATATTCAATCCCAAAAGTGTAAGGTCTCGCTGAAAATTGTGTATTTGTAACTTTAGAGGTTATTTCAGTAAGCTTGTAATAACTGCCTCCCCGGCATACAAAATTTTTCCTCACAAGAAGACATAGATCAGACAGTTTGTTGGCTACCTGTTATTAAATGGGAATAAGGGATAAGAGAGAGAGAGAGAGAGGGGGGCTCTTTGCATTCGCTGAATCACCTGTTAGCAGGCTGCTGGAGGCTGCCTAAGTGAATATGACAATTTAATTCTCACCTGTGACAGCAAACCAGCAACAACAAAAAAACTCCATCGGTAAGCCAGTTTTTAGGTCCTGAATGTATTGATGCTTAACTTCACAATGATATTAAACTGCTGCTTTCCCTCTATTTTAAATGTGCAGGAGCGCTGTGCTCGGCTGAATTTGTTTTGTTCAGCCTTCTGGATCTCGGCAGGGAACTGAATGTGCATTGATCTAAAGAACACTTTGTTCAAATGTTAAAAGGCTTACAATATTTGTAGTTTTATATGGCCGATACATACAGCTCAATACCTTCAAGAAAGCACA